TCGAAAGGACATGTATGGCATCTAGACGTTGAACCAATTAACGAGGAACCACTATCCAGATGAGAGATAGGTACCTCTTCAACCAGAGAAACATGAATTGAAGGGAATCATCTCCATCACCCATTCACGCCAATTATTCAAGTTCAAGATTCAAGTTTCATAGTTCTCACGGCCCAGACGAGAACAATTCTCACTGTGGATTTTCAGGTGCTAAGTCTGGCTCAATGCAGATATAAAGGACAGAATACGCGGCAGACTTGGATGATGATCAAAGCAGGAACGGGTAACAGGTGTGACATTGTGACTTACCACAGGTGCGCACGCTCTTCTCAGTCAACGACTCGCAAGCCTGTACTCGGTCAGAGCCTTGCGACCCACCCTTTCTGTGAGACTAGCCTTGAATAAAAATTGAATACTAATTCAGATTCATCGACATCTTTAGTTTCATATAATTCACTGGTCCAAAGATATGGCACAACCTCAAAGAGCCATTGACCATCGGTAGGCATCGTGCAATCGGCAATGAAAGCAACTAATGTAAAGTGTAGAATTTCAATGCCTCTCCAAAATAATGACTTGTGCAATCATCCCCGTCAGCCCTCGGCTGCTGAACTTTGCCCTCCAGAGATCATTGAAGAGATCGTATCAGGCTTGGACAAACCAGACGCTGCATCCACTGCAATTGTCTGTAAAACCTGGCTTGAACCATCCCGCAGACGCCTGTACTCCAGCCTGCGGTTCATATACCCTGCTCCGCTACTCGTCTCTACACTACGGACATGCGCGGCTGCGCGATCATACATCCACACGCTGTCCTTGAGAATAGCATTTCCCCGGCCAAACATCCCAGTGACACCTGCAGATTTTGACTGGCTTCTCCTTCTCCCTCCGGGAAACATCCGGTCTTTCCGTGTCATTTTCGGTGATTTGTGCTTGGAAGATGTGATTCTGCCAGATGTCATCAGGCAGCTCTGTGCGACCGGCCTTTCTGCGCTTGAATCTCTCGTCATAACCACTTCCGTCATTGAACTAGAGACGATCAATCTCTTCGCTTCTCTCCCTTCTTTGAGAGAAGTATGCCTTGGGGTGATGGTGGCTGTAGTCTTGAATGCGGAAGTCCCAGTTTTACCTCCGTTGACAAGACTCGGAATATATACCAACGTTCTAAGTGAACTGCTACTATCACTCCCAATTAGTTCCTTGTCATCGACTCTGACACGATTCGACTTCCGATGTACTACCGAAAGGGGGAATACCCCACTTTCATGCCTTCCCCCGATTCTCAAGGAACTCAAACTTCTCCGTCGTTTGACTGTCGATTCAGATTTCACATTTTATTCCATCCCTTTTATGGACGACGTCGTCGGACATCTCCCGCGGTTGGAGTACCTTCATGTCTGTACTGGTATATGGAGCTCTGTCCTACTCGAACGTTTACCACCTTTGGTAACATACTTGAGCTTGCAGCATCTACGTACCGACATTGACTCACTACAGTCATTTCCCATCCCATCGATTCTGCGAATGCTGGATGACCACGTCGGTGTTCTGCAGACCCTAGTGTTGCAGATGTACATTCTACAGGAGATAGGTCTAGAGTCGTTGATTTGCCGCTTAGGTAGCATTGACCTCATTGTGAGACCTGAAATCGCTGTGGGCGATCGAAGCCATCTCATCTTCGACAGAGAGTCAGACAGATGGTAGATATTCGAACAACCTAGCATAGACTAAACGGGACAGTAAACGAAGGATGATTCAAACATTCATGTAGTATGCGAAACAAGTTAACAGATCCCCAGGCTATGTGGAGTAAGAAATCTTCTTGTCAAGGTTCCGCTCGATGGTACGAACGACTTCCGACGCACCAACGATTGCCTCCGGTGGTGGATATCCTCCCTCAAGGAGGTTCCATAACAGAGCAGCATCATCGATGAACAATCGCTGATTTATCTTCCCAAGGGAGAGAAGGCCATTCCATGGTTTCTCTTTGACGAGGCTCTATCTGACGAGAAACTCTAGTTGAACGGAAGTTTTAGCTTCACACCTTTGTCCAAGCTTATCGAACACGGGTCCTTCGACAGGAAGCCATATGATGTGTGGATCCAGGCTGAAGCCATGGTGGAATCTTTCGGACGTCACCTGGGCTTTAACCTTGTACTCCCCGCTTAAATCTACTGGTAAAGACCCCCACGACTATTGCATAATTCATACTAGCCCATGTAATGATCTCTAGACTTGCTAATAGAGGATACGTGGTTAGGACTGTACAAAAACATGGCTTGTGAAATATATTGAAATGCATTTAATGTCGGTTTCTATATCAAAATGTTGCTGTCGGGGGAGCAGACTGGTGCCAATGATGTCGTGCATGTAGGAGCACGTCCATTGCGTAAGACCATCTCCTCCGCCACTACCATTATCTCATCGCTATGACCCTTGTGGACTACAGCGATGGTACTACCCAGACTATTGTCACTGACACCACCCGGAAGACGATCTTGAAGCTATGCCCCACGGTGGCTGGACTAGTCCGAGCTTCGATGATTCAGCTTGGGCTGCCGCAGTGTCTGAGGGACCTACGGCGAGGGCGCCTTGCGGGACGCCTCCACTCCTCCTTGCCTTGAATATGACGGGAGTCAAGTGGATCCATACGCCGCTGGGGTAGACCCTCTCGTTCACAGACCATTCCGAAAGACTATCGCATCCCCCTACGGAAAAGCTTCTGTCTGTGGGAAAATCGTCATCACCGCGACTGTTTTCTTTCCCTCTTCATCACCTTGATCTGTGTGACCGCAACTTGCAGCTACGATGAGTGCACGGGTGTTTTGGTGGCGTATGATGATGGGACATCGGAAACGTATTACACGGATGACTCGTGGAAGACGCTGGACGAAACCACTCCAGCTGGCTTTGAAGACACGGATTTGGATGACAGTTCGTGGATTAGTGCGACGGAGTGGGTGAATGGTAAAGCGAATTTGGTGACTGTTCCGCGTGCGTAAGCTGTCTTGTACGATGAGCTCAGTTGGACTTTGTCTTGATCGTGGAACTTACTACTTCTATACCCTTTGATCTTCAATAATATGTTGGTGCTGGTTTCTTCTTCGCAGTTCACTGTGGCTCCAAGTCGGTGTGGCGGTTCGTGGGAGAGAATTGGTGTGAGTTTACGTGAGCGAATTGAGAGAGAGATCCTGAATCAAAGTTATGGCATCCAAGGATATGGCCTTTCCGTAGTTTGGTCGCTCAGTCGAGGTCGACAGAATCGTGGCTAAAGATTATGCGAATAAGAGCAGAAAGATTTGCACGGCAGATAACAACGGCAGAGCATGAAACAAGTCAGCATTGAACAGAAGAAATTACTGTGGAAAGTATCTGTGGCGGGAGGCGTGCAGGGGGGACTATTAGTTACTCAATGACTCCCGAGTCATGACTCGGAATTAATAAACGTTGTCAGGAGCCGTGTGACCTTTAGTCCTTCGAAGATTGAAACGTGTAGATACAGTTTGATAGATATGTCTTGACAGCCTCTAGAATCTGGTCAGGCTCTACAGCGCCCAGTTCAACTCTGACGGACAAATACACCTCCATGAATTCACAGCCAAATTGGAAGCAGAATCGAAGGCACTAAATTCAGGGTAGATATAGGCAGTGCCTGATTCCGGAGCATAATGTGCCATCGATGGTAGGTGCTATATCCTTGGTGATGACGACCGGTAAAATTGCTGGAGCCCGAGTGGCTCTTGGGTGGAATATGTTTGAGAAAGTCGCCATTAAAATGAAAATATATTGGAACCATCACAAGAACCAACCGTCTCCAAATTCAAGGACCAAATCGATATGCTGGTTGTGAGTGGCAAGGATCGACCATAGAGGCCTGTCGTCCATTCCAGTCAACATGCGATCACGTGTACGAATTGATGCCAATTCGGCTCGCCCAATTCGGAGTTCCTTCTTTTCGACCAGACGGCCGCCTTGACTCGCGTTCCCTCTATTTGGGCTCTGCCTTTGTTCCTCGGGGCAGTCCGAAGATACAGCCTGTATGGCTTATCTTTTTCATCAGCCGACTGCCCTGAGTCCAGACTTGTCTGAAGATGGAAAAATAGTGATAGACGCTCGTTGATTGATCCTTTTGGATATGGCGCGAAAACATGAGGCAAACAAGCGACAACTGGTCCTCAAGGTATAAAAGCTTCGCTTTCTCTCTCTGGGTTCCCATCCTCTCCTGCCTTTGAGCAATGAACTATCATACTCAACGCTACTCTTGAGACGACGACGCCCTCGGCCTCTCTTCAGCAGCCGTGGGACGTTCATCCTCGTCTGTGCCTATCCTTCTCCGCCACCCCTTCGTGGTAGGTCACTGCTGTCATTACGAGCGAGCAATCCCTCACTCTACACATAGTCGTTGATTCTACGAGGTTCCTCTACGTAGAATCTACTTAGTGAACGTACTGTCGGCGTCACAACTTGAGTGGCTCATCGCACCACATCCGTGTCGAAATCAGCAACATATGTGTACGTTCTTCCCTACCGTTTCTTCAGTTCGTCTGCTGATGCTTTCCTAGGTCAACGTCTCTCTAGGCCCTGGGAGATACGTGCGGTCGCTCTGCGACTATCCAGGTCGCTGTCGGTTACCATATCGCTCCTTCTACTTGACGTGTCATGGTGCTCCTGATTTCAGCCGAGCGAACTCACCGTCGTGTGAATGGAGCGACTTGGTGACCACGGTCAATCTCATGATTGGTCAGGCCGTGGATCGGCACGCAGCGATGGGTAGTGATACCCATCCATCTTCCCAATGAGGTCGTTGACCGACTGGAACGGTGAGCGACGTCAAGCGTCGTGGTAGATGCGTGCGGTCGTTTCGACGACTATCCTGTTGAGAGCAGGTTGCGTAGCGCAGCGGGAAAGCCAGGTCTGGAGTCGAAAGTCAAAAGCTACTAAGCGTTGACTTTCGATCTCCAGTATTGGTAGCTACGATTATGTAAGGTAAGAGCGACATGGAGGGTGTGCTACTTCAACACTCCCCCTCAACCGAACATGTCTACGGAGGTATTGAGACAAGTCCGAGTAAGGTAATCATGTATCTGAGCTTCTCTCTTCCTAATCCCTTTGTCAAGGCATCGGCTGGCATATTTTCGGTTCGTAAGTGGACCACATGGATGCACCCTTTTTCAACTTCATCGCACAGCCAATAGAATCAAAGGTCAAGGTGTTTAACCCGGCCATGATGTTCAGGGTTTCGAGCAACTGACAGACCAGACTCATTGTCAATATAGAGGACTGAGGCATTAGTGAGTGAATAGCCAAACTCTGTAAACAAGTTGTGAAGCCAAAGGATTTCCTGACCAGCAGACATGGCTGAAATGTATTCTGCTTCTGTTGTTGAGAGTGTCACAAATGCCTGAAGATGAATCATCCAACTAATGGCTCCAGTACCCATTTTGACAATGAAGCCACTTGTAGAATGCCCACTATCTTTGTCACCCCCATGATCTGCATTGCAATAAGTCTTGAAGTCAAAGACTGATGAATCTGACTCAGAGTTGGGAGAGTAGACAATGTGATAGTCAACTGTGCCCTTCAGATAGCATAATAGCCATTTGAGAGCTTCCCAGTGGGCTGTGTCAGGGTTTTTGCTGAATCATGAGAGTACACTCATGGGATAGGCAACATCAGGCCTGGTAGCAATAGTGAGGTAGGCCACAGAGCTGAGCACATTCAGGTATGGGATTGTCCACATTGTCTCATATTCCTCTGGTGTTTTGAGAGACTGATCTGCTGTAAGTTTTATGTTTGGATCCAAAGGTGTCAGAACAGGGTTGCAGTCAGCCAATCCTGCATGTTGCAGAATATTTAGGATGTATTAGCACTGAGAGAGAGTGTGTGTTCGGTTGGCTTAGTCATGCTTGATCTTGACACCAAGGAGGTAAGATGTTGGACCCAAGTCTCAAAGCTTGAAGTGCTTCTTGAGATCATTGATGACCTTTGCAACACCATCTGGTGTCTTTGTGGCAATAGTCATGTCATCAATGAAGACTGGAATGATGATATGCTCACTGTCCCTCTTGTAAACCCAGACACTATGCTCACATTTTACCTGTTCAAAACTCATGGCATTGGTCAATGTTGCATGTAGCTTTTTGTGCCATTCTCTCCCAGCTTGCTTTAGTCCATATAGAGACTTGAAGAGGTGCCAGACCCATTTCTTTCCTTTTTCCTCAAAACCTTCTGGCTGCTCCATATACACCTCTTCTGTCAGCTCACCATTGAGAAATGCTGATGAGATGTCAACACTTCATAGCTCTAAATCCTTGAGGGCACCAAGTACTAGGACAGCTTGTAGGGCAGTCCATTTTGGCATTGGAGAGAAGGTTTCAGTGTAATCAAAGCCAGGTTGTTGTGAGTATCCCTTTGCAACAAGCCTTGCTTTATAGCACTCAATTGATCCATCAGCATTGCATTTCACTTTGAATACCCAGTGACTCCAAACTGCCTTTTGATTTGGAGGGCATTTCATCAATTCAAAGACACTATTTTCAATGAGTGCCTGTATCTCTTGCATAGCAGCTTCATACCAACTTGCAGCTTCCTCTGGAGGACATTTCATAGCTTCATGGAAGGATTTAGGTTCACCATCATATGTAGATGCCTTGTAAGCTGCTTCTGTCATGCTCTTAAATGCAACTTCCAGTCCTTCCTCCATTGTCAGATGCTCTATTGTCTGGCTGGAGAAAGCTATGCCTTCAAGAATAGTTTTATCTTTTATAAAGGCTGTATGTGCTTGATTCTCTGCATCTCTCATGTGATTGTCATTGTTGACATTTCAGCACATTCCATGACCATAACCAGGACCAGGATCATATAAGCTATTATTATGTATTCTGTATTTATATTTGCCTAGGTCTGTTGGAGATGGTGGTGATAGTGATAGAGTTAGGTCTAAGAGAGATCCATCAAATGGTGAGCCAGGAGGAGTCATAACATTATGAGGAAGAGGTGATACTAGAGGTGATGAGCTTGAAGGAGATAAGAGATTTGGTGCTGAAGGATTTTCTGGAGGTGAAAGA